GAGGAAGAGGAGGAAGGCGGGCGCCGCGTCGGGCGCCGCGAAGAAAGCGAGGAAAACCTGCGTCAGCAGCGAGCCAGACAGGCCGTAGAAGGACTTTGTCAGCCCGAGCACGAGGCCGCGCGACTCGCGGAAGTTGGCGCTGCAGGTGGCAATGGCGGCGCAGTCGAAGTAGCCCGACCCGTGCCCCCACAGGAACCAGAGCAGCCAGAGTACCGCAAAGTTGGCGTGCACATCAAACGCGGAACAGAGCCAGAGGCCGCCGTAGCCGAGCAGCGTGAGCGCCGCGCCCGCAAAGACGACCGTCCGCGGGCCGCCTCGGCGCGCGTCGTACAAAAAGCCGGCGAGCGGCACCCAGTTGCCCAGGTTGGACGCGAAGACCAAGTACTCCATGAGCGCCTCGCCGTCTGCGGCGCCAGGAAACAGGCGCGGCCGAAGCGCGGCGAGGTAGAGGTTTGTGATGTACACGCTCCCGCCGCAGAGCTCGAGCAGCATTGAGGCGACCAGGACGGACCAGCGGGAAGTGGGGAAGAGCGAAGACATTGCGCTGGTCGGCCCCTTGCCTAAACGGGAAAGAGAACCAAAAAAACCCGGTGAACCTTCTTTTCTACCAGGCTACGAGCTTACTTCCTCTTGATCACAGCGGATTTTGGTCACAGTTTTCACATCATCGCAGAGACGCAACGCGCTAGCATTTCTGTGCGAGTGTGAGCACCCACGCTCGGTGGGATGTCTCAGTCGGGGTGACCGGTGTGAAGGCCTATTTTCGGTGTGTTCTGGCTCTATCAGCGCACCCCGCTGCCAACGGCACCCAACCGGTTCGTACCGGTGTATATGGCCCCAAGTAAGTACCACCCCACGGTAAGCCTGGTAGGTCAGGCGTGGGTTCGTATGCCTTGTGTTAGTAAGCGTCTGTAAGAACAGACAGTCCCTGTAAGTATCCTGTAGACAGCTGTAAGTTTTGGTCTACGCCCAAAAGCCGGCCACGCCTCTAGCAACGTCTTCTAGGACTAAGAGCAGCTCCGCTCCCAAGGTGACGGGTGACGCCTACGACTACTACCAGCGCGCTCGCAATCCGAGCAAAGGCTAGGATTGCGAGCAGCACTGCTCACAATCCTAGCGACAGGCCTCCGATTGCGAGCAGGAGCGCTCGCAATCCTAGAACTTTCGCCGATTACGAGCCTCGAGCGACACCGCCCACAGTCCTACGACTTCTAGGATTGCGCGCGGGTCGGCCCTCGCAATCGCGGTGCGATCACTGTTTGGATTGTGAGGAGACCATCCCGGCGCGCTCACTCACAAGCGCTCGCGGCTGGAGCGATTGGGAGCCCTCTCTGTGCAATCCTTGGATCTTTGGTACGATTGTGAGCACCGTTTTTCCGTATTCTTTCCGTATTCTTGTCCCAAACAGGGTATATATTCTCGAATATGCCACAAGAGTACAGCTCCAAATCGGGCCTACCTATATTCTCAAATATTCATTATATTCCCGCTGAAAATCGCTGAAAATCGCTTCGAAAAAGAATATAGAATCGGAAGAATAACGTATGAAGGCCAACGCTCGCTCAGCATCTTTCTTGAACGAATGCCCGCGATGAGCAGCGAGGCGAGGGACAAGGGGTCTCCTCGCTGCCGATCGTCGGCCCGATAAACTGCAGCGAACATCTCCAATAACACGAGCGTAGGGGAAGAAAGTGGTAGCTCACACGCGTCACACCTTGCTGTCGCCTGTCACAAAA